GCCCCATAATTGTTCTAGCCGGCCCTGCCCAAATGGTTACTCACAAAATTTCTATGGCCCAATAAGGACATCCACCATTATACACATATCATCTTGACCCAAACAAATATAATATGTGGTTCCGAACATATCAGGCGGCCCCCACCTCCGGTATGGGCCCCACGCGAATTCTATCATTCACATAAAAGAACTGATAAAAATTTTACAGTCACGTAGAACGCGTTTATTCATTTCTCAGGGTTCGATACATAATTTGATAAAGTACAAATACTTGGGGCGGTGTTACAATGTGAGTTGGCAATAGTAAGTCATGAGCATTCATCTTGTAATAATATGCAAAGTAGGCTATGCGGGGCTCGAACCCACACCTTCATGCAAATATGCACGTTGCTCTACCAGTTGAGCTAATAGCCTTGATATAAAACATAGTGTGAAAGCTAAATTAAAACTAAAACATCAATATTAGAAGCTTAGAGCCAACTGAAAACCAAATAATCAGGAATGGTAGTTAAAAACAAGTCAAAATAAGCAATGCGTAAAGAAAAAGAATCAGGATTCCTAGTTTAACTTTTTAATTCTAAACTCCAAACAACATTCCACCCCTAATGGAGACTTTATAAAAGTAAAACAAACACACATGTAGTACCACATGCAATAAACTTGGACTCTCTTGTAAGTAAAATTAGGATAATCAAAGATTGAACCACTACTTCAACAATCATTATAATAAAAATCAAATGACAAAGACTCGTTGTATGCTAAATCTCAGTCAAAATAATTCAATTCATAAAGTTCCAAGATATATCCACAAATCTTTCGGGTGGCCCGAGATATAAAACCTGAGCCTCACAACTCAATTTCTTCACAATTGCACCAATTTACTTTAAATACAACTTGGGTGAGTTTTACCCTTTTAACCTAAATAAACAACACAGTCTAGGATCTTAAGGTTACAAATTAAACTAAACTCATTGAGAGATAATATCAAACACTTGAAAGATTAAAAAGGGAAAATAACTTATTTTAAATTTGATATACTAGAAAATTATAACATGGTAAGAAGTAGATTTATAGCTCATTGAGACATAATCTCAAACACTTAATAGATGCAAAGGGAAGAATAACTTGTTTTAAATTTTCTAAACTAGAAAGTTGCATTATAATTGAACCAGAAAGTGATTACTTCCATTAAAACAAATTGACGGTGAATCAACTTGAAATCAAAATGAACTCTTCAATAAAAATATGAAAAATATAATACTAAAGGTAAGAAAGTCGAATGCGAAACTTACTGTCAATTACTTGTTTCAGTTCACGGACTGATTAAGATTTGTGAAATTCTTCATGCAATGTTGATCGAAATAGATTAAGGATTCACAAAATAAAAACCAAATTCCAGGTAAAATTCAATCGCAGAGCATATATTAGAGCAGATGAGGGAAGAGTTTAGTAGTTCAGATTAGGAAAAAAGAAGATGATTCGGACCTTCGATATGTCTTCGATGGGCAGTCGTCACCAAAACGTGCTCTTTCTTCTTGTGCTGCGCTGGAACAACTAGATGTTGTAGGTGATAAACATCATCGATGAAATTACTTAGCCATGGAATTGCAGTTCGACGTTTGAGGGAGAGAAGGATACAGAGGCAAACATGTCCTTTAACAAAAAGGTACTCCGTATATGGTTCACGAAATTTACAAATATGCCATTAATGAAACGGCTATGTTTATGTAATCCGACAGCTGAGAAGAGTTAATCGGAAGGCTATAATCACTTCTCACTTTTCAGCTTAATTAGGACTTCTCATGTGATCTTTTCTCTCTCTATATATGAACATATTTATGCATAAGGTTCTTGTTATCTCCAAGTGGAACAATCTGGAATCACTTAAAATCAGGGTTAAGTTTGTGGAACGTTACCTCATTGGTGGGCTTCCAATATGCTTTTAGACTCAATGAATTAAAACTTATTGTTATAGTTTCCACTACAATGTTGAAAAAAGAATTAAAACTACATATCCTTATACATAACCTTATTGTTATATTTATTCTCAATAAAAACAAACGGTAATTACATAGAAGAGATTTGAATCACAACGGGCATTCTTGACTTGCTTGAAGGGTGACGTGCAAGAATCCTAATCTAAATTTATTATCCTTGCACGTTTGACTAATTCACCTTTTCCGTTTGCAGCCATTGGACTGGACTGAAGTACAGAAACCACTCCTTAGAATTGCAGAAAGAAGGCACCAAGTTTAATGAAGAGTTTGCTGCAGGGCGAATAGGGTTGTAAACAAATCAAATAATTTGTGCTCGGTTCGCGATTCGAATTCGTATAAGACGATTCGAATTCGGAAAATTCAAATACAAATATGAATATTAAATTTGATTCGATTTGTTATCAAATACAAATAAGAATATCAGTGTATTCGATTCGAATATTAATCAAATATATTCGATTAATAATAGTGATAATATTAATAATAATAATAATAATAATAATAATAATAATAATAATAACACTATAATAACTTTTAAAAAATAGCAATACCCTAAAGTGTAGTTCATATATACATTTACGCATACAAATTCTAAGTCCATTTGTAATAAATCAGAGTATAAATACGAATACAAATCGGAGTTTTGGTTCAAATGTCTTTCAAATACAATACAAATAATTATGTATTCGATTCGCGGAATAAAATTAGAGTCGTCTGACTTTGATATATACAATTATCAACTTATTTCACACATTATAAGTGTAATTTCTAATATGTACTACCTCCGTTCCTAAAAATTCTTCCCGGTTTGACTTGGCACGCCTATTAAGAAAGTGGAATAAAGTAGAAATGTATGGTTGTGGTTGGTCAGGAAAAGGTAAAATGAATGTGAGCCACATAAATTGTCCAAAAACGGAAAGTGGAAAGAATTTTTGGGAACGGTCCAAAAAGGAAAGTGGGAAGTATTTTTGGGAACGGAGGGAGTATATGTTAGTGTTAATTTCAAAAAGTTCGAAATAGATTTATATTTATTAATTATAAAATTGATTCACTTTAGTATATCGTGCACAATCTAAAAATGCATTGATCCATTGAATTTAAATTCTAAAAACACATATCAAATCATAGCGTACATTTACAACATAAAAAAATATAAGAAAATTTAATTTTAAGTGATATTTGACTAATATTTAACCTATGCTCAAATCTATTCGATATTCGTATAAGATTCGTTAACTATTCGTATTGTTAAACAAATACAAATACAAATCGAAATTAATATTCGTTTCATATTTGAATTCGAATTCGTATTCGAAAAAATTAAACAAATACAAATACAAAATCCTACTATTCGACTCGATTCGGTTCGTATACAACCCTGAGGGCGATGTATTATATTTGCACACTAATGTGTCGTGCGTTGGCTTTAGGGTTTAAAGTTGCCCCTAATTGTAGTTGTAGATCTCTTTTAAGGAGATATACGTATGATACATTTTTTGGATGCATTTTTAGAAAAAATATATTATTTCTACTTTTTAATACTCCCTCCGTCCCAAAATTATTGTCCCCGTTTGGTTTTTCACACAGATTAAGAAAATGACACTGTAGCGACACTATTTGTTTGTTACTGTTTGACACTGTTTTGCACTGTTTGGTATAGATTTGTTTACCAAATAAGGAAGGTAAAGAAACGAGACAATTATTTTGGGACGGACCGAAAAGGAAAGCGGGACAATAATTTTGGGACGGAGGGAGTAAATATTAATTTGTAATGTGAATGAGGAAAGTAGTAAAAAAGTTCTTTATATGTTTAGCCTAGCGTTTTTTATCGTGGGTTCCGGCCGCATCGTTGTGAGTTTTCTCGGAATTCTGTATCCGGTCCGGTATTTCGTCTATCTAACTTTGACGACTGTCCAATTGGTTCTTGTTTCGGTGCGAAGATGAGTTTGGTCAGTTGGAATTGTAGAGGTTTGGACACTTTGGCCACAATTGAAGGGGTGGTAGATATTGTTCAAAGCCATCGTCAATGATCTTTTTTCTCATGATGATGAAGACGAGCAGCCTAAGAGAGAAGGAGTTGATGTATAAGTAGGGGCACGGAAATTATGCAGGCTCACATAGTGAGGGGAGTATGTATATGGTACATCCGGTTGTACGGTGAGCACCTTACAGCCGGCCCAGGAACAGTCCCAAGGAAAAAATAGCAAAATAATTCGGTCGCGTTTTTGTAATTAATGTAAAAAACGCTATTTCTGCTTAATGAGCATTAGTGTACTTTTAATGAGCAATTGTTCAATTTTTAATGAGTATTAAATGTCTAATAATGACCACCGTGTTATTATAAAAAAGATGATATCAAAACTAAAAAACGGTGGCATTTTCGTAATTTCAATGAAAGTCGCGATTTTCGTTAGATGAGCATTAATACACTTTTAATGAACATCAGACGTATTCTACTGAGCATTAGAAATCGATAAATGAGAATTGTGATATCAACTTCATAAATCGTAATTCACTTTCTTTTTCTTATTTTATATTTTATAAAATCTCAATAAATTACTCCGTATATCTATAATCAATTCCTGTGAGTTTCAATATGCGGATCTAATGTTATATGATACTTTTGAAATATTCATTGTTATGACATTTTAAAAATGAGCACATCAATATCAAACGAGCATACATAAAGTACAAATGAACATTGATATGACAATCGTAAGTTTTGTTAGTTGAGCATCAAACTCCCTCTATTGAGTATTGAGATTTTTCAATTTAGTGAGCATCAGACATGTTTTGTTGAGCATTCGAAGCCTAACAATAAGTGTGGCGATCTAGTTTATATATTCAAATTCACTTTCCTTTTCTTATTTTTCCTTTTTAAGAGCTTACTAAATATTATCTATAATCGACTCATATGAGCTTTAACATGGGAATCTGATATAATATGTTAGTACCCAATTTTGATAGATTTTGATGATGCCACTATACTTTTTTTTTTAGACCCGGAAGGCAAACCACCTATGTCGGTGGGGCAAATGCCGGGGAACATTTGCCGGATTTTATTAATAATGAAACAGAAATACAAATAGAGAGGGGGACCAAACCAAAACCTCTCCGGAAGAGGCATACCTCTTCGAAATACATGGAATAATAAAAATGAAACCAGATAAGAATAAATTCATTGGGGGGGCTAGACCTGACCCAATGAAAAATACAACAGAAATTAAAAAATTCTAAAATAACTAAGACCAAGTTTATGTGTAAGTAGAGCTTTCTTAATATGGCAAGGAATGTCAACATAATTATTAATAACATTAAATTTATCTGAGTTGCATCTAGATAAGAAATGAGCGGGCCAATTTCCTTCCCTCAATACATGTCCGAACCGAACAACACCAGTAACGCTCCATTTCCTCATTTCTTCCAACATTCCTCTTCTTCCTCCAAAACTTTTTCCAAAAACGATCGCTTCTATAGCTTCCATGGAGTCTGATTCCACTTCAAAATTCCGATAACCATGCCAAATCACCCAGCTCACTGATAAATACAATGCGACAATCTCAGCATCCAAAGCAGATCTGGCCGATATAGGAAAATGAAGAGCAAATACGAACTGGCCAGCCCGATCTCGCACCACTGCTCCACCTGCTGCATCATTCGAACTGAAGGAAGCATCGACATTCATCTTCAGATGTAAGACAGGAAGCTTCCACTTAACCAGACGAAGACGATACCACATGATGCCACTATACTAAGTTCCCAAATGATCCACACTCTCATTACTTAATAATCATGACCATAAATCAACATAACCAAATAAAATGTATAATTTATGTATTAAATAAATTATACTGGAAACTTAAAATGCAATAAGATAACTTTTGTTATCTTGAAAAGGATATTCAAATCCTACCAGTATAACTTTACTTAATACATAGATACTCAAAAGAGTGATATAATGAAAGTGTACGACAAATGTATCAAATAATTTTACTGGAAATTTCAAAATGCAATAAGGTAAACTTGAATTTACCTTAAAGGATATTTAGAAGATCCTTCCAGTACATATTTTATTTTATAAAATCTGTTATATTCACTCGCTAGAATAAACTGAGTAAAAAATGGCATACGGCTGAAGACAAGATTGATAGCCATTTAATGCCAGGATTGTTCATGGGTCCATGAACGTGTTGAAATCTCTCCATATAAGCTCCAACGCAAGAAGACAAGAGTACACTTCTTTCTGTGAGTAGGATTAAATCCTCTCAACCAACAGAGGAGATTAATCAACTGGAGATGCCTATAAAAGAAGGCAGAAGAATGAGGTCTAAAACCAAGTTTTTGAGTCTTCTAAGTAGAGTAATCACTCTAAGTATTCACGAGCTATCTAGCAAAAGAGAAAGTGCAAATTCAACTTTGCTCTCTGCTTAGACTCATGCTTCACTGAGCTCTCAGATTAGATTAACACTGTCATATTTTAGAGCTTAGTTCATAGTTGGAGGTTAGAACTTTCTTGTAATCACAAATTGTTGTAAACACTTAAGAGAACGGTTGTTCGGATCCTAAAGTGTAGTTAGATAGAAAGAGTACCTTTTGAACCCCACTGGTTCATTAGAGAAAAGTCTAAGGACTGAGTAACCTTGAGTGGTGCTATACTCATTGTGAAAAACCTTCAATCTAGGCATAAGTATTGTAAAGGCTAGATTGGCACTAAGTGTATTGGGCTTAATACTCTAGTGGAAATCCATCTGAAAAAGGGTGGGACTGGACGTAGGAGGATTACACCACCTCTGAACCAAGATACATCGTGTGTTGACTTTACTTCATTCAACAAAGCACACACCAAACACTTCTCGTATAAAGATTGTAGTTTGCCAGCAGCATTTTAAGCAGTTGTCTTAATTGACCCAACTGCTTATTCTTCTGCTTAATTACTCACTCTCTTTGAGACTATTTTCATACAGTCCACTTGCCAAAGCATCACCAAAAAGGTTGTTCTAACAGTTCCCAGAAATTCACCTTCTAATTATAGCAGGTGCCTCAGCAGTTCCCTCATCACCACCCAACTGCTGAGCCCTCTGCTCACATACATATATTTCCTTTAAACAACTCAACATCACCAGATCCTCATAACATCATCAACAAGAAGTTTTGCTTAAACGGATCTCTGAAAATCTGCTTATAACCTAACCAGGTGGCTCAGCAGTTCCCTCAATACCACCCAACTACCGAGACCACTGCTCCAGTTAAACTTCACCTTACTCTTACTAAAGCACTTTTTCAGACATCTTTCTTCATCTTAAACAACATTCCACCATCACTTTCATCATAAAGTTAATATTTCTCTAGCAGTTACCTCAGTTATCTGCTATCTAGCCAACTGCTAAGTTAACTGCCAAGCCGACTGCTAGCTATCTAAGTCCAATCTTCCCTAAATTAGAAAGTGGTCAAACACTCATTACATAAGACTTCCGCTGTGCATCTATTAATCTCTCAAAAGATTATAGATCAATTCATCTAGAGGGAAAAACTTCAAAAAGTTGAAAAAGATTTAAAAGTCTATTCACCCCTCCCCCCTCTAGACTTTTACCCTATCCGGGACCAACATAATATGCAACTTTTGAAATATGCATTAATATGACATTTTGAAAGTGAGCATAACATGAGCACCAATTGAGCTCAAGTTACTTACAAAATGAGTGTGAAAACCATAATTTGTTTAGTCGAACTTCAAGACATTTTTATTGAGCATCAAACCTTCTCTATTGAGTATTAAAAATATGCAATTGAGTATAAACATTTCTATAATATGTTAAAATGAGCTAACACCAGTACAAAATTAGCATATATTACTTACCAAATGAGCAATGATATGAAAACAATCAGCTTTGTTAGTTGATCATCAAGGAATTTTCGTTGAACATCAAAACATCTTTTATTGAGTATCACTTGCATGCAATTGAGTATCATGATATCTGCTCTAATGTATATGATCTAACCCTTATGCGAATCTAAAATGATACTTTTGATATCTACATTAATATCATATTTCAAAATGAGCATAAAACCAGTATCAGATGAACATGAGTATCGAAAAGATTCAAAAACTCATTTGAACTCTCTAATATGTGCTCAAATGTTTCTTTTATTTGTTACACTCATTCTAATATAAAAAATATAGTAATGAAAAATATAATAATTTTATATTAAAAATTATTTATAGTGTTTAGTTCTAGAATTACAAATATAATTGGGTTCGTTTTATAATGTTTACATATGAATATTTATTTAAGAATATACTCATTTTAGTATAACACAAAAATCATACTAGTAATTAACACACAATATTTAATAAAATAATAGATATTTACCCTAATTAAAAAATAGAAAAAAAGCATTAATACCTAAAATATTTTGTAATACATAAATTCTAAAAAATTAAGTTAAAAGGTTGATCGGAAAAAGAAATAAAAACTGGGAGAAATAATAATATTATATATAGCAATTTATATTATATATTTTCATCATAATTGAATATAAAATTAAATTAAAAGTTTTCTAAAGAAAAAAACAAACCAAGCAAGGAGAAGAAACAATAAAAATAAGAAAATAAGAAAACAAAGGAAGGAGAAGTCACGATGGAAAGATTGAAAGATAACCAACTGAATCTCGGCTAAAGAAAACACGAATACGTCCGGAAATAAAAGAGCTACAGTAACCAACACCCTAACAATAACCCTTAAAGTTGAAATTAATTACCAAAATGTCGGGTGTACCGTATAATTTCAATCCAATGATGTTGTGGTGCAAATAAAAATACTCAATCCAATTTTATTGACTGCCTAGTCAAAACATGGAAGGTGATGCAGCATGGCGGCTAACATGCTACTATCGGTTCCCGAGACTAGACGCAAAAGAGATGCCTGGAGCATGCTTAGAGAATTGAGAGAACAATACTCTACCATGGATGATAATCGAAGATTGTAATGATATAATGTATGATTCAGAGAAAAAAGGGCGAATTCCACATCTCCATGGAGAATTTGAGGGTCCAGAGGCGTAGTGATAGGGAGTGGTTTGAGAGATTTCCGTTCGAATGATATTAGTGGACATGAGATAGAGGCAAGGGCACCGGTTTTTGTGTAGAAGAGAAACTGGATTGTATATGGTTGATGATGATTTAGTGGAATGATTTTATGGCAGCACATAAAGCTACAGAGAATGGGCGAAAAATGAAAATGGGCCTAAAGCTACAAAGAATTTTAGATAGGGCCTCGAACTCGAAAAAAAATGTCAAATAAGGTCATATTTAGGATGCTCTGTCCGGCCGACGCCATTTGGGGCGGCTTCAGATGCCATTTTTTGATGAAATTTTTTGAGCATCTTCCTCATTAAGTCTAGTTTACCCATACCAAATTTCAGCTAAAAATTCAATTGGGAAGATAGTCAAATGATTTTTTGAAGATAATTGTGAAGTTAAACAACGCCGTACATTTCGGAAAATCATTTGATTACCTTCCCGGTTGCATTTTTAGGTGAAATTTGGTATGAGTAAACTAGACTTAATGAGGAAAATGCTCAAAAAATTTCATCAAAAAATTCCATCGGGAACCACCCCAAATGGCGTCGGCCGGACAGAGCATCCTAAATATGACCTTATTTGACAATTTTTTCCGAGTTCGAGGCTCTATCTGACCCTTATCCCAACCATTTTCTATCTCAACTGACATCCATAATAATTGTAACTAGTGTAAAGCCCGGGGCAATGCCCCGGTAGCGCGTCAATTTGATATGGATTAAAATGAAAAATACAAATAGTTATTGTGAATATTATAATATCTAAAGTTAAATATGATGCATTTTTACTATGATCTAACAACAATTTATAATAAATTTGTATTTTTTTAACGAATAATAATATTAAATTATCCATCATATATTATATTGCAGTCTATATATTATAATTTGTAGGTTCATACTGAACAAGGGAGCAGGATTTAAGTCGTGTTACACAAAATAGTGGGGTTAGCCTTGTAGCGGACTTGAATTACTATGGCATTCTTACTGAAATTTGGGTCCTTCACTATCTGATGACTAAGAGGGTTGTTTTCAAGTGTGACTGGGTAGATAATAGCCTAATAGATTTTTTTGTGGATCCATAGTGACTTACTAAACGTAAAGCTTATCAGTTTTCTTTCTTTGCATGTACAGATGCTAAGGGTAAGACCAAGGCCTAGGAAGATGATGAGGGAGTGGAACGTGTGCCAAGATGAGTTAACGGGAACGACCTTGGTGACTTTTTGCTAGATATTATTTTGTTTGAGTATTTTAGTGTTATATTAAAGAGATTATTATTATTTATTTTATTTGAGGATTTAATGTTTGAATAAATTCCTGGATCCAGGTGGTTATCACATTTGCTGGTGATAACTATATTTTATTAAGTTTTATTTGGAGTTGTCTTAGTTACTTCTGAGAATGTATCAAGGTTATTTTCTCAAATAGATGACCATTGTATTATAGTTATTTTTTAAAAGTAGTAAGTTGTGCAACGTTTCCTTTAACCCTGAGAGGGGCGTTACATCATTGTAGTTATTTTGCATATGATTTTTTCTTTATTTATCATCAAAAGGTATTTGCGCAAATCAACAAATTAGTGAAAGGTTCTCTACAAAAGGTAGCATACCATTTAAGGATTCAGTAGTAAGGGTAATAAAAAGTATAGAAAAAATAGGAGTTAAAGTGGTAAAATATGAAAAAGAAGATAAAAATAAAAAGAGTAAAAGTAGCTGAATATTTTTAAAGAAAAAGCTTAACAAAAAAATGCAGCAACTTTTTATATATATTCGAAAAAGATTTAGACTCAGGAAAAGAGATTGTAACACTTGAGATTTAATATAAGAGGATTAATAGTACTACTCATACCAACAGATGTGCATCTCCTTTTAAAGTATCTCATCCGCTAAGAACTCCAAAGTTAAGCGTTCTTGCACGGGAGTAGTCATGGGATGGGTGACCCCCCTGGGAAGTTTCTTAGGGCTGCGCATGAGTGAGGACAAAGTGCGCGACTGCGCGGTAAAGGGATTTAATTGAGATTGGTTTATGAGTGCAACTAGGACGTTGCAATCCTAAGTGGGGAAGTTTTTTTTCTTACCCGGAAGGCAAACCACCAAAATCGGTGGGGTAAATGCCGGGGAACATTTACCGAGTTTTATTAATGAAGATGATAGGTACAAAAGAGGGGGACTAGACCAAAACCCCTCTAGGAGATGCAATCCAACACAATCAGACTAAAATTTAAAACTCCATTGGGGGGGGGGGGGGGGGGCTAAACCTGACCCAACAACAACAACAACAACAACAACATCGATGCCTTAGTCCCAAATGATATTGAGGTCGGCTAACATGAATCGATACATGATATAACCAAAAGGAAAAGACAGAAACTAAAGATAAAAAAGATAAGCTATTATAAAAAAGATAATATAATAGAGATGAATATACATATAAAAGATAAAATACAAAGAATAACGTAATATTTATATGTAAGGATATATATATATATATAAATAAAAATAAAAAAAGTGAAAGAAAAAGAGGGGAAAAGATGATACAAGATCACTCCTCCACACGAATACCCGCCCTCCATTTTGCTCTCTCCAAAGCCATACCCTCATCCAATCCAAGAAGAAGCATATCCCTTCTGACTCCCCTAACCCATGTCTGTTTGGGTCTTCCTCTCCCTCTCTTCCCTGCCTTTTCTCCACACATCTCAACGCGTCTGACAGGCGCATCACTCGGTCTTCTATGCACATGACCAAATCACCATAGGCGCGACTCCCGCATCTTATCTTCAATAGGTGCTACTCTCACCCTTTGTCTGATTGTCTCATTCCTCACTTGGTCCTTTCTAGTATGCCCACACATCCAACGCAACATGCGCATCTCTGCCACACTGATCATCTTTTAAATGTGGCATTGTTTCACCGCCCAACACTCCGTGCCATACAGTAATGCAGGCCTAATTGTTGTCCTATAAAATTTACCCTTCAGTCTAGTCGGCATACCTCGATCGCATAGAAATCCTGATGCACTCTTCCACTTCATCCACCATGTTCTGATTCTATGGGCTAAACCTGACCCAACAGATAAAAATAAAGCTCCACTATTGGGGGGTATACCTGACCCAATAGAGTAAAATACAATTTAATAGGAACATCTAAAAGAAGGAAGACCGTATAAATCTCGAAAATAAGCTTGATAAAGTGCGCATGAGTGAGGACAAAGTGCGCGGTAAAGGTTCATGTTGGTTTGTGAGGACAGTACTAGAGGTCTGGAGTAACTACCTCGGGTCCCGCGGGGCCGGGGTGTTACAAAGGTCTACTAGGGTTTCACGCTACACGCGAGTTTTATTTCTCTCTGCCTTTGTGCGGAGCAACAATTTTCAAATCCAAAGGATTGTGTTGGGGCCCTTTAGCAAACACAGGCAGCCACTTTGGGAGAATCCTTGATGAAGCAATTTCTGTCCAATGGCAACGGAACCTCTTGCCCCGTCGCACCTATATGGCGGAGATTGTGAACAAGGTCAGGGCAGACGGATTGAAGCAGGATGGGGATGAGGTAGATCCAAACATGCACCAGACGTGTAGTGGGGCGGGGGGGGGGGGAGATTCTGGATTGGAAGAAGTCAGGGCTGTTGGCAGTGACCTCCTACGGGCGAAATAAGATAAAGAGATGTTGATCCATTCCCCTCCTGAACCTCCACCATGGAGTAATTGTGCGACTAGGGTTTGGAAAATTATTTCTATTTCTATTTTAGTTTATTTGTGTATTTTACTTCGAACTACATGTTGTTTTGTTTGTTATGTACGATTATCTTTGCCAGACTCTTACATTAGGTGAGGGTAATGAGAGTTTTGCTCTAGATACGTTAGGCTCATATAGACCCACTACAGGATCAGCGAATCATATTGATCTGTCCATGGTGATTGGTGGTTCACAGGCTGGTTCGAGGGGCGGTGGCCGAAAGTGTTTCCTTTACCTCGTTTGTCCCTTACAGAATGTTTTTTATTATCGATTTAAGCCACCTTGTTTAAAAAAAATACTCTCAAAAGAAAGTATAACATATCTCGGGGTTTAATGCACCAAACACTCCTGTGATATGGAAATTCGGCGTATTAGCCACTTGTGATTTGAAAATGCGTGAAACTCTCATGTGTTTAATAAATCATGTACAAAACCCCTTATATGAATAAATTCAATTGTCAAATAAAAGAAAAATTATTAACATTTTTAAGTGATTTAGACATTTTGACATATTTACATGCATATTCAATCAAAATATTAGGAAACGTGATTTTTCAAATCATTAAATTTATTTACAAGAAGGGTTTTGTGCATGATTTATTAAAAGTAGGAAAGTACAATTTAGAAGCCCACAAATTAAAGTCATAGGACCGAAGTGTTTGATCAGGTCCAATAAGTTATAGGATCTGGAATAACGAGTTATTTCCCGAGTAGGGGTACTTTCTAAACTTATTTCCCGAAATAGGGTACTTCTAAACTTATTTCCCGAATAGGGGTACTTTTTCCTTGTCAGCGTGCCACGTCATCATTCAAGTCAAACCCGCCACGTCATCATTCAAGTCAAATCCGCCACGTCATCATTCAAGTCAAATCCGCCACGTCATCATTCAAGTCAAATCCATGTAATCCTATGTATCACTTAAAAATAACAAAAATTGGAGGTCAAGGGGATTCGAACCCACAATCACTCATTGAAATTTCTAGCTCTCCAACACCAGACCACACTAATTTCTTGTCCGAATCTTGTATTTACATATACTTCTATTCATATTGTTTCAGACTTGTTGAATTATTATAATATTGTTATTATAATTGGAGATACTATAATTATTACGGTTGTTATTATTACTATTATTATTTTAGTTACTATTATTATTATTATTATTATTATTTTATTATTATTATTATTATTATTATTTTATTATTATTATTATTATTATTATTTTGTTACTACTGTTATTATTATTGTTATTATTATTATTATTATTATTATTATTATTATTATTACTCCATCCGTATTTAAAAGTTCCCAGACTTTCCTTTTTGACTGTATTTGAAAGTTTCATACACTTCGTAAGTTTACCCATTATAAAATATTCAACTATCTTAATTTATCTATTTTTATCTTCTCTTTCATATTTTTGCACTCTCTCTCCATATTCAACTATCTTATTATAATCATTATTGTTGTTGTTATTATTATTATGATTATCATTAGTAACAACAAGAATTGAAATAGTAACAATAATAATAATAATAATGATAATAATAATAATAATAATTGTAATAATAATCATAATAAAAATAATACTTCGTAATAGTCACAAAAAAAATTATAGTAATACTTACAACAGTAATAACAATTATAGTATCTACAACAACAACAACAATAATAATAGAAATAATTATAATACTTAAACAAGCCCAGCTTAATATGAATACAACTATGTCCAAATACGTTATTGTATCAAGTGGCTCTGATGGTCTAGTGGTTGAAGATTCAAAATTTCAATTGCATGTGTGTGGGTTCGAATCCCCTTGGCCTCAGTTTTCATTTAATTTTTAAATGATACATTGGATGACATGGACCTTTGATGTGACAGGTAAATGATGTGGAAGTGGCATTTGACTTGAATGATGACATGGCACGTTGACAAGGAAAAAGTACCCCTATTCGGGAAATAAGTTTAGAAGTACCCTATTTTGGGAAATAAGTTTAGAAAGTACCCCTCTCCCGGAAATAACTCCTGGAATAACCTAATGTACTTTCCCCGTTTCTATTTGGAGTACCATTCATCGGATCTACCATCTCTCTACCGCTCTCAGCCAGACTGCGGAGGTACGCTATATTGCTCTTCTCCTTAGGTTGGACGCCGTCTACACCACGCTATATTACTCTGTCTGCTTAAAGATATCATTGTGGTTTTTGTCTTTTTTCTTTTCATGTTTTTAGTTTGATAATTTACTAATTGGTTTCGATTTGTAATTGTTAGTTAAAAACTTGTATTTTGACATACTTGTAGGTTTTGTACTTGTGTTAGAAAAGAAAGACCTAAATTAAATAGTTGCATGCCCTTTTTCCTAGGATCGGCCCTGCAATTCACGATCGACACCAAGTACAAACGAGTGAACGACACCAGGTAATAGATTCGACCGCCAAGAAGCTCTTTACCTCCTTTTCGTTTTTTTGTTTTGTTATGCTTAAGTTCAATTACCCATGCGATTTATCGCTTTAGGTGAAATCATGTTAGGGGTTTTCCTCGGTTTCGGTTTATTCGGGTTGGGAGAATTTGTACCAAACTAAAACCATTTGTTTTTCGGTTTGGTTTCGGTTCGGTTTGAAGTTCGGTTTACCAAAGTAAAAAAATATTATGTTTAATTTAGTTTGATTTGATTTGTTTGCTTATGATTATTATTTTATTTGATCAAGTTCTATATTTTAGGATTAGAAAAAGAAAGTAGTAGTCCATCTCATCTTTTATAAATTTATTGATTATTTAAATAAAATGTAAAAAGAAATAAAATATTATAAATTAAAACTTCTAACACCTTTTTATCACTACAAAAAATTCACTTCTTACAAAAAAATAAGATAGTTGATTAACATTTATAATATCACATAAAATATTTTTAAGAAAAGCCTAAAAGAGTCGATGATACAAATGTTGTAATATTCACAATTTTATTAAAATGAATCATGTAAAATATAAATGCAATTTGCTATTTTTTATCGCCAAACATGATAAATACAAATACGTCGGATTAGCTAACTTTGTCATAATGAATGTATGAAATGTGTAAAAGTTAAAATGATACGAGTATACGCTTAAATATGTATTTTCATGTCTAAATTATTTATTTATAAGTTAAAAATGAAGAGTGAAGATAAATACATTGTATATACATACATATATATATACATACATATATATATATATATATATATATGTATTATATGTATATATGTTGTTCAGTGTTCGTTTCGGTTTACGGTTTTTCCAATTTAAATCAAACCAAATCAAAGTACCAAACCATTCGGTTTGGGTAAATGTTTACCAAATTGTTTACATTAGTAAACCCATACAAAACCAAATCAAACCATCAATTTTAATAATATACGTAGTATAATATATGAAAGATTTTTTGAGTTTCTTTAGTTCGGTTCGGTTTTGTTCGGTTTTTATCGGTTTCGGTTTGGTTCGGTTCGGTTTAATACTGTTTGGAAGAAATAGTACCAAACTCAAACCAAATTGCAAACGGTTCGGTTTCGGTTTGGTTTAGTTCGGTTTGGTACGATTCGGTTCGGTTAAACCAAACTGTTATGCCCACCCTTATTAGGGGCTGGGCATAAAGAGTTTATATTAGGTGCCAAAGCTTAAATCGAAATACATTTTTGAGCATGCAAATTTGTATGTCTAGACACACACACAACACACATGTACATACATATACATACATAACCTGTTAAATCTTTTTACCACTTACACATTCTTGATAGGACAAGTAAACAAATAACCTTAATTAATTGGTCATTTTTCATAATACTAGATAAGAAACATTCATTTATTTTATAAATAAAATAAGAACTATACAAATGAAAACTAAATACTCCGTATTTTATAAATATTGTAAACTGAAATTGAATACATACATTTAATTTGTATCTATTAGTTGCAACTTACAATTACAACTAATATATAATCAACACCAACACAATAATAAATCATGTATACTATAATTACTAATTTCAATATTGACACGTTATCGTTGGGAGATGGAGATAATAATTTGTAACCTAAAAAGTTAATTAGATATGAAAATCTAATTAAATATTTGCACACCATAACTGAAAGAGAACAATGTTTATGACATATTATCAAACTTATTAAAAGCAGTAAAAAGCGCCTAAAAGAGACAAAGCGCAGGCGAGCGCCAAACCTGCGCCTCGCTTTTGAGAAGCGGCTCGCCATGAAAAAGCAAAGCTTTTCCGGCGCTTTTTCTTAAGCTCGCTTAATGAAAAGCGATCGCTTTTAAGAGGTTCTCACAAAAAGCGGTCAATTGACCAGTCAAGTTAGGGTTATCACGTTAGAGTCGTACGACTCTTTCCCACTTCAGACATAGCCGCTGCTGAAGAAATCGCAGCCTTGAAGAGGAGTTCTCCCAGGTGATCGTCGTTTCCAAATTGTAACTGGCAGGTGAAGAGTTCTCCCAGACTTTCTCCTAGGTGCTGTGCAGGTTCTATATCATCATCGTTGGTCACTTTTACAGTTTACTCTGTGATTTTAGTTGGAGCCCAGACTTCCGCAGCTCACTTTACTCTGTTTCTGTCTTACTCTGTTTGTATGTAAGCTTCAATGAGGAGATGCTATATGTTTTTGGCAAACTAAAACAGCCTATATTTTTTTGGCAAACTTAAATAGCCTATGCTTTTTTGGTAAACTAAAACAGCCTATATGATACTCTTACTCTGTTTGTCTCTATAATAAGCTTTTAAAATATAGCCTATATTATATATATAATATGAATGAAAGAAATCATTATATTATCATTTTCTTGGTAATTATTATAGGTTTAAACTTTAAACAGCTAGATTATATATTATAATGAAAGCATAGATAGCTAATGTAGTAAATTATTTATAGAAAGATAATTTTGTCTTCACATTAGTAATTTGTTACTCAAATGTATTCGGGGCTAACTTAAATTCCAGTTTATTCAAATTAAATTCCAGTTTTTTCATTTTGGTTTATTGATTATTAATTTTTAGTTTATTCCAGTTTATTCCTTTCACTTTATTGATTAATTCATTTTTTGTTTATTCCAATTTATGCCTTTCAGTTGATTGATTAATTAATTTTTTAATTCATTCCAGTTTATTCCTTTAATTTTATTTATTAAATAATTTTTTAACTAATTTTCAGTTTATTCCACTAAGTATAAGGTCTCCATTGCTCTTTGTACACTTGCTTGATGACTTGATTCAATATTTTTAAAACATGTATATGATGTAGAGTTGTAGACAAAAATGTCTGGACAACAATTTAAAAGTCAGGATCCTGCATTGTAGACAAACATGTATATTATATTTTCTTTGATTTTTTTAAGCATTGGTTTTTTTTGTGAGAAAGCTACGCTTCGCTTAGCGCTTTCGCTTTTAAGCTAAGCTCGGGGTCATCGCTTTTGTACGCTTTTCGCATTAAAAAAGTTTGCATATTATTTGAGAGAATATTTTAAAAAGGTTGTGGTTTCATGGTTTGTAACTTTGTCATCATTTAATAGTGTACTAGCTTGATGTATTTAGAACGTAATAAAACTTGCAAAGTTATTGTATAGCATCTCTAACTTTGGGCCGGTACAAAGATTTTTTTGGTCTTTTTTTACACTGGTTTTTTAAGACATTTTTGAAATTTGTGGTAGGCTGGGGCCTAGGTTGGCCACTAGCTCTGCCAGTGTCTCCAAGACTCCAACCAATTTATTCTTATTATTTTCGTTTTCTACCATTCTTAGATTACTTCTCTTTAGTTGTAGGGCAAACACAATGTCTCCAAAATATATTAACAAAGTAAAATAGATGTTAAGGGCTGTAAACATATGCAATTATGCATGTATATATATCTGCAAATTTTGGGCCCCATAATTTGTTAATTCTTTGGGCCCCATAATTTGTTAATTCTTTGGGCCCCATAATTTGTTAGTTCTATGGGCCCCTGTGTGCATGATGACCTCATTACCCTCACCGTAAGCACAGAAATATGTTGTATATCAACATATCAACTTCTAGGAATTAAAAAAAACGAATTTGAATTCTCTTTCTATTTCTAACAACATTTTCTTACTTGTTAGTATGGTGAAATTGGAGAACATGGCTTTGCGCATGAGAGTACTCTCATTGTTGGTGCGTTCGGTAGCATTGGTGATCTGCATATCCAATTCACTAGATGTGTATGTCAATAGGCATCCCTTTGAAAAGTTGGAGATGTGGCTTCATAGTTTGCAAATCATTCTATCCTTTCATCTCATTGCCTTCCACTCCAGACACTTAATGAAGGCTTCTTCTACTTATGAATATTTCGCCATCATTACATCTGCTGCTGTCATCCATCAAGGTTTAAACAAAGCTTTTTGGGAAGAGTTGGAGAAGACTCATTTTTCTTTGTCTTGTTTTGCTGTGGGAGTGCATTTAGTTTGCTTAGCTAAAATTATTGGTGAATTATTCACATTGGAGAGCAATCTCAATGTGGAGAAGGGTGTCGATGTTAAGAAGGTTCAATAGTTGGAAAAACCATCGGCAAGGAAGTTCTACGTGATTCACAAGTGATTGCTCATGTAATTTTTGTATATCATAAAGTGACCATATGTGAAATTTTATTTGGTGGTGTGGACTGTGGACCGCTTCACTGCGGAGTGCGGACTGTGACATGCTAAATAATAATTTCAAGTTTTCAACTATCTATTATTTCAGGATAATTCAAACATGACTGGTTACATGTAGTGGTGGACTCGGGCTGGTTCGGGTCTGGGCCTGGCCGGGCCTCGGTTCATGAAAGGGGAGGCCCGGAACCGGCCCGGGTAATCCCGGGTCTGGGTCGGCGCCCGGCGGTTATATTTAATTTTTTTTGGCTTTTCCTAATTAACCCCAACGCTCCTCCTACCCCAAACCACCCAAACCACCTCAAATGGTCCAAAATACCCAGCCCAACTCAAAAACATAAAAAAAAAATCAAAAGAAAAAGAAAAAAATAAATAAATTGGCCTGGACCGGGCCTGGACCAGCCGGGCTGGTTCACCTTTTGAGGGGCCCGAGCCCGGACCCGAACCCCAGTGGGTCGGCCCGAACCATACCGCTCCCTAGTCGGGCCGATGGTTCACACAGTAATCGGGCCGGTTCCGGGGCGGGCCGCTTGGCCCGAGTCAAGCACTAGTTACATGTTTAGACTGTTTAGTCATTTGAAAAAGAAATATCAAATTACAATACCCGAAATATCTTTTGTCGACTTTTGTTGGACCCAAAAAAATTAAATTTAAATTTCTATTAATATATACAAAAGTGTACAAAATATAATAAAAATTTATATTACTCAACTAACTTTCATAGATAGTTTGTGGAATTAAAGAATGTAAAACGTATAATTAGATCAATCATTACTACCTTAGTGTTGCAAAGACTCCCACCCAGGGGTGGCCTTGGGCCGGTTCGGGCTTGGACCCGGCCGGGCCTCAGTTCATGAAAAGGGATGCCCTGAACCGGCCCGGGTAACCCCTGGGTCCGGGTCGGGCCGGACCTCGATTCAAATTTTTTTGACTTTTCCTAATTAACCCTCAACTATGGATGGACCCGGGCCGGTTCGGGCCTAGGCCCGGCCGGGCTTCGGGTCTGTTTTGTTGGGCCCGAGCCCGAACCGGTGGCCACCGGTTCCGGGCCGGGCCGGTCGGGCCACCCGGTTTTTTTTTTTTTTTTTTTTTTTTCCTTTCTTCCCCCACCCCCCAAACCCCCCCAAACCGGCCTAAACAGATAGCCCAAGCCCAACAGCCCAAAACAAATGAAAAAAATTAAAAAAAAAATAGATTTGGCCCGGACCCGGGCCCGAACCGGCCGGGCCAGGCCGTCAAAACCATGAACCGAGCCCGGAACCGCCCCACCCCCGGGCCTCCGGCCCGAACCGGACCCGGACCCGGATAACCGGGCCGGGCCGGGCCCGCACAGTAGCGGGTCGGGCCGGTCCCGGGCCGGGCGGCCCGAACCGAGGCCATTAAATGGCCCAAACCATCTCAAATGGCCCAAAATACTCATCCCAACCCAAAACATAAGAAAAATGCAAAAAAAAAAAAAACGAAAAAGAAAAACATATTTGGCCCGGACCGGGCCCGAACCGGCCGGGCCGATTCACCTTTTGAGGGGCCCGAGCCCGGACTGGATGACCAGTGGGTCGGGCCTACCTGAACCGATCACTGAATTGGCCACCGGGCTAGGCCGGGCCGGAATAGTGCCGGTTCCGGGTCGGGCCACCCGACCCGAATCCAGGCCTACTCCCACCTACGGTGGGGTAAGGGGGTTGGATGCACGAAGTCTTACCTTTGTACCAAACGCAAAGAGACTATTTTCCGGATGACCCATAGTGAACATTGTATCCAAAATTGCATGGAATGACCGTAGTTTCATAAAAACAAGCGCAAATAGTTTAGTGATCATTTTGTTTTATTCCATCATTTTCGCAAGACAAAAAAATAGTGAGTTTTTGACTCCATTACAAATGATGGAAAATAAAACATATAGTTAGATAATAAGGAAAAACATATATAAATTTCAAAATTAAAATTTAATAACATGTAAGATATTTTAAATATATACTCCTTCCGTATTTTAAAGTTTGCTACACTTTCCTTTTTGAGATGTATTTAAAAGTTTGCTACACTTTCCCCATTTCGTAAGTTTTTTCCTTTAAAAAAACTCAACTACCCTTTCTGTTTCCACTTTTTATCTTCTCTTTCATATTTTTACACATTCCTCTCCTACTTTTTCTACACTATTCATTACCCCTACTATTTTATCCTAAAACTTTGTGCCCAAATCTAATGTAGAGAACAAATAAATACGGAGGTAGGGCTGGACTCGGGCCGGGCGGCCCGACCCAGAACCGGCCCGGCCCGGTGGCCCAGTCCACTGGCGGTTCGGGTCAAACCGGCCCGGTGGATACCGGTTCCGGGCTCGGGCCCTTCATTTAGTGAACCGGCGCGAACGGTTCGGGCCCGGTCTGGGCCGGGGTTTTTTTTTTTTTTTTTTTTTTTGATTTTTTTAAGTTTTGGGTTGGATTAGGTATTTTGGGCCATTTGAGGTGGTTTGGGGTGGTTTGGGGTTGAGGGGGAGGGGTAGGGGGTTAAATAAGAGAAGCAAAAAAAAATTATGACCCGGGTGGCCTGGCCCGGAACCGGGAGCCACCGGTTCGGGTCCGGGCCCTCCTTTTGGTGAACCGAGGCCCGGCCGGTTCAAGGCCCGAACCGGGCCCGGCCCGATTCGAGTCCAACCATATACGGAGGGAGTATTATATTCCCAACTGACTTTCTCTCTCTAGGGCTTGGTGCCTCTAGGGTATCGTTTTCTCCGCTATCGGATTTTTCGAGGAGCGGCCGCCGGTAGGTGGGCTTTCAGGTTATGGTGCGTAGGGGTTGAGTGAGCCACAATTTGTGGCTATCTTCTGCAGCGGCTATCTTCAGCGAGACGGGTGATCTCTTTCGGTGGTTCCTTATCCAGAAGCCGGCGTCACATGTTTTTTTAATAGATGGAAGACATAGTTAATCAATATAAACAAATGACAATGGGTGAGGATAAGGAGGAGTTGGTTTTCGATGAGGAGGATGAAGGCGAGCAGTCGACTGTCGAAGTAAGGCAATTTTCTCGGTCGTGGGCATGATTCTAACGGACTGTAAGATCAAATTTCAATACTTCAAGGACTTGATGGCCTCGTTGTGGAGACCGGTCAAAGGTGTGTCTATTAAAGAAATTGGTGACATGAGGTACATCTTTATCTTTTACCATATGTCATCCTTCGTTCTTTAATTCTTGCAACAATTTGACTTTCAAGTTTGTCAACACACAATTTTGACTGTGATTATATTTAATTATGTATTAGTAAACATTATAAAAGTTGATATTTTCGAAATTAACATTGATTGGAATTCAATAACATATTATACATAATAATTTGACTATGTATATTAGTAGAAAATCGCGGTCAAAGTAAGGTCTGTGAATAATGCAAAAATCACAATGTTGTAAGAATTAAAGAACAGAGGAAGTATTAGATATGAGACGTATCCTAGATGAAGGTTTGTGGTTGTTTTTACAGAAATTCATCACTTCTAAAAGAAATCAAGGCATCGGATATTCCTCTACAGACGAGCCTTTATGAGGCTGTTTTTTGGGTGCAAGTTCACAATGCGGCATTTGGCTTTATGAATTTGGGTTCTCCTACACAAATTGGTAATTATATCGGAAAATTTATTAGTTTTGATGATAGCAAATCTGATGAAAAATTGGAGGCAAATATGAGAATAGGATGTTAGGAGACTTCTGAAAAAAGGTACTTCACTGAAAAAGGTGGGGTTTAGCCAACAGGTGGACTTTAAGTACGAAAAACTTCCATATTTTTGTTTTGTTTTTGGAATTATTGGGCAATCTCACAAGTTTTGCTCGGTAGTGTATGAGGGTAGGGGCGGAGATAGGGCTGGGCCATCCTTGGCCCCGGCCCAGCCCAAATTTAAAAAATGCCTTTATTTGAAAGATTGACAGCTTGACCAGATGCAGCCTGGTATGTGCTTAGAAATCCTTAAACCTCAATATAGATCTAGATTCTCCATCAAGGAAAATTAACAGCTCATCAGCATAACCTAGATGAGAAACAGCCCTTACCTTATTTCCCATCCAAAATGGCTTGATATTATTGTGCTCCATCAGATATTTCAACCCTCTTGAAAAAGCTTTTGATGTTATTATAAATAAAAGAGGGGACAGAGGGTCACCCTACTTGACACCTCTATAAGGCTTAAAAAAACCTTGCGGAGAACCATTAATGAGAACTGATAGAAATGTGGCCTTGAGATTGTTTAGAATGAGCATAATTAAATGAGAGGAGAATCCAAACTTTAAGAGGATAGGAGAGAGAAAATTCCAGGAAACTCTATCAAAAGCTTTAGCCATCTTTGTTGACCATAAATCCAGCCTGTTCCTCAGAAATAATTTTTGGGAGAATGACATTGAGCCTTGAAGCAAGCACTTTTGTACACACCTTATTAATGAAATTAGACAAGTATATTGGTCTAAAATCACTAAAAGTAACTGGATTATCAGCTAATATATATATATATATATATATAGAATAGAGATCAAATACAAATCCTTCTTAATTTACAAAGTACAAACTCAGCTTGACCGTCCGATGAGTTGATCCAAAGGACATAAAGGCAAGGTGACATTTTTGTAATAAAACCCAACTTTTTTAGGGTGCAACTCGTTGAACGTTAATGTGCAACTGCTATTTTATGGCTGAATAATATGCACTACTTTGAACCTCAATATGCAATACAAAGGACGTTAAGGTGCATCGTACAAATATTTGCACAATAAGCACAATTTGTACTTGATCTTTCCCGGGTGCAGTTCAAGTGAGAATGGTAGCTTAGGAGAGAAATAAGAACAAATCACATCCATCCAAAACAATTGATCTACGATTGCAATTAAGTTTTAAACGGTGGCATGTATGTAATTAGTCAAAAGTTTAGACAACTAACGGGATACTTAACGTGAGCGTAATTGAAAAATCCGCAAGTTTGATTTCGTTACTAGCAATAGCCGACTTTCTCTCATTTAATTTACATATGGCTAATTAAATGAATATAAAAATCAATAACTACGTGTTATACATAGTGCACTTTTACTTTTAACCAACTTT